TACTTCGGTTTGGGTGCTAGCTTGGTGTTTATTGTTTTTTTTTTGTTTTTTTTTTTCCCCGGCTTTTTTCTTTGTTTTCTTGACTTCAATATTGTCAAGTGCATAGAGACCTCGTTTATTTGCGCTATATAAATCCATCTAATTATTATTATTATTATTATTATTATTATTATTATTATTATTATTATTTAGACCTAAAAACATATTTCGTATCTAAATACTAAATGTTTAATTTCAAGTGTTCCAGTACTTAAAGTGTTTAGGTATATGATATGTTTACAAAGTGTTTAGAGCCTAAAAACTATTTCTAGAGTGTAATAAAGACATTTATTTACTGTCGAATTATACAAACTATGTTAATTAAAATGTTTCTTAGAATTCAAGGCTCTTAATTGACATTAAACAAGTATGGTGGTTTGGTGGCCTTAATGTATACGGTAATTAAAAAAATTACCTTGGCGCAGACAGACGTTCAATAAAATTTTTATTTTGATATTCATAAATGTAATCCACCAAAAATGATATCATGATTTTTATTGGCAATAATGTATTTCAATATTGTTTTTCTCTATCGGCAATCGATAGGCCTATCTTTTTCTCGTGTTTTGGTGTTAAGCTGTCTCTTATACACATCTAGATGTGTATAAGAGACAGATATTAGGCAAATCAGACGCAACTAAAAAACTTGTTCATGCTCTTATAACTTCAAGACTTGACTATTGCAATGGCTGTCTCTTATACACATCTAGATGTGTATAAGAGACAGTTTATTAAGTACGAAATTATACTACTTTTTTTTTTCAATTTCTCTATATCACCTTGCTTGCTAGTGTTGTTTGTTCTAGGTTAAGAGGCACCTGATCCCAGAAAAAAATCCAAGACTTAACCGATGCTAACCGGAGTACATAAACACAGATCTCCGGTTGGCGGTGATGGTATACCCCATACTTCGGTTTGGGTGCTAGCTTGGTGTTTATTGTTTTTTTTTTTCCCGGCTTTTTTCTTTGTTTTCTTGACTTCAATATTGTCAAGTGCATAGAGACCTCGTTTATTTGCGCTATATAAATCCATCTAATTATTATTATTATTATTGTTATTATTATTATTATTATTATTATTTAGACCTAAAAACATATTTCGTATCTAAATACTAAATGTTTAATTTCAAGTGTTCCAGTACTTAAAGTGTTTAGGTATATGATATGTTTACAAAGTGTTTAGAGCCTAAAAACTATTTCTAGAGTGTAATAAAGACATTTATTTACTGTCGAATTATACAAACTATGTTAATTAAAATGTTTCTTAGAATTCAAGGCTCTTAATTGACATTAAACAAGTATGGTGGTTTGGTGGCCTTAATGTATACGGTAATTAAAAAAATTACCTTGGCGCAGACAGACGTTCAATAAAATTTTTATTTTGATATTCATAAATGTAATCCACCAAAAATGATATCATGATTTTTATTGGCAATAATGTATTTCAATATTGTTTTTCTCTATCGGCAATCGATAGGCCTATCTTTTTCTCGTGTTTTGGTGTTAAGTATGTTCATAATTATGTTCATTATTCACATTTACTGTGGAATCTCTATATTTTGTTAAAATAGATTTAATATATTTTACGATTATAATAAATCAATCAACCAATTAACAGATCAATCAACATTAAATAGCCAATCATTCGAGCCACCAGATTTGACAAAAAAACATTTTAGTAGCTATCATATTGTACCTTTTCGCTAAGTCCAGCCCCTGGATATTATTCCTAAGGTCCCACAAAACGATATCGTAATGTAAAACACACACCAACACGTGCGTTTGAGGGACAACATGTGTGTTTGTGAGACACGTGCGCGTTCCTTGCCTTTTTCTGATTGGTCAATTTGTCAAGTTTGATTGACACTTTGGAAAGATCCATTTGCACACAGACTTGTATTAAATGTTAATGTTGGTAGTTTTTTAGAACATTATACATTCAAGATTTTTTTTCTAAACCTTGATAAAATAATTGTAAAATAAAAAATACAAGATCATTATTTACGGGGGGAAATGGAAAACCATGATGTATTGAATTAGATAGGTTCTAATTCAAAATCACAACTATCACTACCAATGGAGGCTTAAACTATAGACGACCTCTGTAAGCCCCCCCCCCCAGTGGTGGTAGCCATGTTATCGGAAATTTTAATTTCAAATTTGGCGAAAATGGTGTATACTACCAGTATGATTTTTTTTTCTTCTGACTAATAATAGCCTTTTGTTTTTCCTGTTAATATGAAAATATGTTTTTCCATATTGATATTTGATTGATGTTTCTATTTTTTGTCTTTCGGTGTAAATGATGTGTGTACTTTTAGGAAATGTGGTAAGTGGTGAAGAGTAGTGTCTATTTAGGTACACATACCAGTACTTGTTATGACCACTTCCGAGAATTTCCATGACTTATTAATAAACTATTACCACGCAATTACGTTTTTATTTTTTTTATTTTTTTATTTCGTTATTCATTTTATTGCTTCTCATCAAAACATCACAAAACAGAAAAATAAAAAACATCTGTATCAGGAAGTGTCTTAAAACGGAGTCTAAATTACTATTTGCAAGTATACATTCATATAGTTAAAATAAATGGCACAAAAGTTTATGGAAAATTCTGGCGATTGATGCACAAGTCTGATTAATCTCCATAGTTTCACATCGAGATTTCAGCATAAAATCTCATCGATTCTTCTTGTTCTTTCAAAGCTGGGTAAGGCCACAGGAAATGGTTGACTTAAAAATTAGGAAACTACATTTATATTAATCATTTTAGGCAATACCTGCTTTAACATGGATTTCACGCCTTCCCGTACCTGAAGTCCAAAATCTGGTCTCTCCCTCCCAGGTTCGAGTACAAATAGGCCAGGCGCAGCCTAGTTAGGCCTACAGTAGTAACACCGTCACCGGCCTAGTCAGGAGGCTATGGAAATCTGTCAATGATATTTTGGTTAAGTTTTATATCATCCAGGCAAAACCACAAATAGGCCAGGCGCAGCCTAGTTAGGCCTACAGTAGTAACACCGTCACCGGCCTAGTCAGGAGGCAATGGAAATCTGTCAATGATATTTTGGTTAAGTTTTATATCATCCAGGCAAAACCATCGCTATATAAGAGCCGATATTTCTCATTGGACATTATATAAAGCTACACAATCAGAAGAACAAATAATATTTTATAAATCTGATGCTTTTTTTCCTGTTTTTGTTGTTGTTTTGTTTTGTTTGTTTGTTTGTTTTGGGTTTTTTTTTGCGTATGCGGCATTAAAAGTGTAACATTTTTTTTGCCATTCCGCGCCTGGTGACCTAAACGTTATCAGAATTACAATCAAAACAAAAAGGCATCAAACTAGTGCATTTCATGTAGTGTGTTGTTATCTACGCTATCTAGCCATATTTATTGATCCGAGAGGAACTATCTAAACCCAATCCATTCATCAATCAATCAATCAATCAATCAACAAGGATTGGATATGTATAAAACGCCAATTATGTTCAATATAAATAATAATAAACAATTGAAGATATGATGACAAAAAAAACACCCAACACACACAGAAGCTTATTTATACTGTAATTGAATCATAGTGAGCGGAGTTAATTTTCAACAGCGTACATGCATCTAAACATCATACATCTTTATTGTGGTTTGGCGCAGTGGGAACGGTTTGGTTTCCCAACCTCGAGGTCGCAGTTTCATTCCCCTCGCTTTGCATTTCGCTTGTGTCCTTGGGCAAGGCACTTCATCTACATTGCTTCTACAAGATCATTATTTACGGGGGGAAATGGAAAACCATGATGTATTGAATTAGATAGGTTCTAATTCAAAATCACAACTATCACTACCAATGGAGGCTTAAACTATAGACGACCTCTGTAAGCCCCCCCCCCCAGTGGTGGTTGCCAGGTTATCGGAAATTTTAATTTCAAATTTGGCGAAAATGGTGTATACTACCAGTATGATTTTTTTTAATTTTGACTAATAATAGCCTTTTGTTTTTCCTGTTAATATGAAAATATGTTTTTCCATATTGATATTTGATCGATGTTTCTATTTTTTGTCTTTCGGTGTAAATGATGTGTGTACTTTTAGGAAATGTGGTAAGTGGTGAATGATTATTATTTTTATTATTATTTTTATTATTATTTTTATTAATATTTTATTATTATTTTTATTTTTATTTTTATTTTTATTTTTATATTTATTATTTATTATTATTATTTATTATTATTATTTATAATTATTTATTATTATTATTATTTATTATTATTTATTATTTATTATTCAAATTCAATACCAATAATTTGAAGTATACTTATTACACATATACACATCTTGTGTAGTACACCGATTTCGTATTTGGGCAGTCCAGCATCAAGGTAGGCCTATTTAATGTCTTACACAAAGGTTATTCAAACAGAGTATATAAAAGGATATTTTCTCAGCAACCTTTTAATTACATACAGTATTATAAAAACTAAAATTGAATGTACACGGATGATATAAATCGAGACTTTAAAATATAATTATTAACTTTAGAATTCGATCTGAATGCGTATCCATCATTAAATATTATTACCGTACTTTTTAGTATTATAAATGTCAACAAAATTGTATACATTAATGTTTGTGGAAGCGGTTTGTTGCCCACCCGTTGGTTCGGGGATTGGTTACTTGGAAGTTTGATTGACAGACCGGAAAGTATTATTAACAATACAGTATTGTATAGGTATGATATTTATAGGCATAATGGCTGTTGTATAAAATGTAGTTAACAATTCGTAATTAACACAAGGGAAACACAATAAGAAATAAAAGCAACTTTAAAAGAAAGGTAGGCCTGAATTGGTTAAAATGAAGCGGTATTTTGTAACATGGATGACCTGCTTGGCAAACTTTGTATTGTACTGCATGAGATTGAATATAAACATTTCCATCACAGAGATGGTGCACAGAGAGAATATGACTGAGATATCTAATTTTAACAACAGCGAGGTGGATTCACGGAACAGCGTAAGTATGACTAGCTGACTAACGTTTTTACCGTTTTATTGTTTTGTATTTTAACAGTTTAAATTAAGATGTATTTATTGCTTTTTATTGTTTATTTTCATTAATTTTCACTTTCTAAGCAGTTTTGTGTTTTTGTTTGTTGTTAGGCTATGTGGGGAGCCCCTCGATGGCAACTCTTCTTCCATCTGGGCAATCCTGCCACATACCCAGCAAAAACAAAACGTTCTTATAATGTTCGAGAACGTTGTGGTTTGGTATGTCACAAAATAATGTTCACAGAACGTTGTAAGAACGTTTGAACGATGTGACGTAAAAAATCCCACATTATTTTAGATAGGCTCTTTTTTCCATCTTGATTTCAGGGGTCAAAAACATTTTTCAATTTTTTTTTTCAATCATATAGTGGTGTAGAATAATCTTTTGAGAACATTTTTAAAGAAAAAATAAATGTGATACGACCCTCCGTTATGGAGTTATGAAATTTTAGGTAACATGAGGACAATAATTTAGCCTCAAAGCTTATCTTATTTCTGTTGGTTACGCACCACTGACTTGGGTTGTTTGTCATCACTTCAAGAGGTCTACCAATTCGTGGAAAAGGCGTAGACAACTATATACGTGTCTGGACGCCTCTAAGCCTATATATATTATAGATGATTATATATAACTATATTATATGTATTATGATTATTATATATATTATGATTATATTATATATTATGATTATATATGATTATATAATCATATATATTTAGGTAAAAAAATATATACTTATTTATGTATGTTTGCATCAGTTGCCTGTTATATCCTATTATTTAATCACAATTATTTATATTATTACTGCTGTTAACGTTTGTATTTTTTTTATTTGCTGTTGTTTATATTCATTATTACTTTCGTGATTTTTATCTTAATCACCATTATTGTAACCATTAACTTTACTACTCTTTGCTACATGCTGCATCTTGTATTATTATATATTTTTATTATTATTATTATTATTATTATTATTATTATTATTATTATTATTATTATTATTATTATTATTATTATTATTATTTTTATCTTTATGTTAGTATTAATATTATTTTTTTTATTGTTGCTATTGCTTTTATTATTTTTATCTCAATCATTTTTTTATATGCATTATCACTGTTAATTTTGATGTTGATGGTGATTAATGATATTATAATACATTTAAATTACTAATTTACTAATTTGAATATTATTACTATTACATTATTATTATTATTATTATTATTATTATTATTATTATTATTATTATTATTATTATTATTCTAACACTTCCATGTTACTGCTGCATCATAATTATTGGTCTTTTATAGATAATGCTTTAGTGAGTCAGTTAATGCTATGGTTAATTTTTTACTTTTGTTTTAAATGTTTTTGAAGATTACACTAATCTGGAGATCGTCATTATTTGTCGTTGAATTATAACGGAATTTATATTACTACTTACATGGTCCGGTTATCAATCATTATTATTTCTACTACTAGTCCTTGCGGTTTACATTATTTCTGTTTTTTTGTTTTTATTATTATTTTATTATTGTTATTATGCGTTTAGCTTAATCACTTGTTATTATTATTATTAACTTTACTGCTATTATGATACATGCTGCTTCTTGATCACTAATATAGTAAATGCGTGTGAAGATGTATTATTCATGACATACACTTCTTATTTTGTTCGTTATTATTACTATGCTATTATTAATATTTAAATAATTTTATTATTTACCGTAGAATTATTACTGAATTGCTATTTATTTATCATTATTTTTACTTCTGTTTACATTATGTCTATTGTCGTTATTATTATTATTATTATTACTATTGTTATTATTATAATGCTTCTTAGCTTAATCACTTGTTATAATTATTAACTTTACTACTTTTATGACACATGCTGCTTCTTATCACTAATTGGCCTTCAGCAAATGCTTGTAATGATGTTTTATTCATGACATGAATTGTTATTAATGTTCTTGTTATTTTCATATTACCATTATTATTATGATCTGTATCATTACTATCATTGTTATTTACACTATTATTATTATTATTATTATTATTATTATTATTATTATTATTATTATTATTATTTTAATCACTGATGTGGTTGTTGCTTTTTGTTCTTTATCATTATTTCTATTATTAATATTTATTGTGGTGGTGGTGGTAATGATAATATAGTGAACGTTTGTATTATTTCTTTCATACAGATCACTATTTTTCCTATAATTATTTGCTTTATTATAATGTTACCAAAATATCCTTGTTACTGCTGCATTATATATTGAAATATTATTATCTTTTCCTGTCTCAAAATGTTTGCATATTCCATTGACTTTAACTACTCCCGTTTCCTTCTTTGCAGGGCGAGTCTTTGTGTCGGCGTTTGTTAAATCCCCTTTTGAATCGTTAACCCTAAATGCTTTTACTTAACTTTTGTTGTTTTTGTGGTATTTTTTTGGTGTTTCTCTGCGTTTCTATGTCGAAGTCTCCTTGTCAAGGTAACCCTTCAAATTTCGACCGACTAACCGAGCAAGTTTTTTCTCCCTTCCAAGAGAATCCTGACGACTTCACTGCAAATATTGATCCTGACTCACCCACTTTTTCATCAATAAACCAAATATTTCTAAATATTACCATCCAAATGAGTTTCATTCCCTAGTTAATAATACAGAATTCGACACTTTCTCTTCAATTCATTTTAATGCAAGAAGCATTTTAAAGAACTTCGACCAGATTAAACAAACTATTAACATCTCTCAATTTTCCATTTGCCATTATTCCTGTCTGCGAAACCTGGCTCAAATACGATAACCCTAAAAATTGATCAAACTCTTAAATTACCAATCACAGAAGTTATAAACGTGGCGGTGGAGTTCCCATGTATATTCGCGATAGCCTTCAATTTTTCCAAGGAGATAATTTACACTTTGACCCCCTCTACTTGTAAATCCATCTTTATTGAAATTATAAGACCAAATGAAAAAAAATATAGTTATTGTCACTCTATATAGAGCTTCCTCTCTTGATCCCTCCCTGTTCATCGACCAATTTGACTCTGCTTTATCCAAATTGTCTAGGGAAAATAAAATTGTCTATATTCATGGTGATTTTAACATCGACATCCTCAAACATGAAATTAATAATGACACGCGTAATTTTGTTAATTCCTTTTCCAGCAATCATTTATCTTCCCCTTATTCACCGACCATCCAGAGTTACAAGTACTTCAGTCAGCCTGCTTGACAACAATATTTCTAATTCATTTAACTGTCCTAACCTAAGTGGCTTGATTTATAATGATATCAGTGATCACCTTCCCGTCTTTAATATTTCATTTCCATCAAGTAAAGCAGCTGGCTCAGATAAGGAATTGAAGAGCTCCATAGGTACAGAAACATTAATCCCTTAGCCCTTGACCAGTTTCGAAATGACATTAGCAATCAGAATTGGACTGAAGTGTTTGAGATACAAGACAGACCTTGCATACAATAATTTCGAACATTCATTTAAGAACCTCTATCAAAAACATTTCCCCTACAAAAATCACTAAAAGAAAAACCTTAAACTTAAATCTTGGATGTCTGACGGTCTTCTACCTCTGTTAAGCATAATTTACTCAAAATTTCTTCATTGTCCATCTACTCAAAATCAAAATAAGTACTGTATAAAAAGTTTCGTATCAAATTAAATTCTACAATCAAAGCTGCCAACGTCAGCCACTTTAATAATATTTTCTTTAAATACAAAATGATATCAAGTCTACTTGGAGTAATATAAATTCTCTTATCAGAAAAAGTCCTAAACATCAGCCAGATACCTACTTTGATTGCAATGGTGATCTTACCAATGACCCAGACAAAATTTCAAGCACACTTAACAAATACTTGTTTAAATTGGTCCTTCACTATCTACCCAAGCCTTTGAAACTCTTAAATTTTCAAAATTTATAAACTGTTGAAACCTTTTAATCGAAGCTCGACCACACCCAATTTACTTTTGTCAGGGAAATCTGACCCCTGCTGGGGCCCGTCGGGAAAATCATGGCGCCTCCCCTGACGAACAGCCGACGCCGAAGGCACTGTGGGTGTACCATATACGAAATATTATTTCGAAGGAACGAAATAGTATTTCGAGGGAACGAAATATTATTTCGAGTGAATGAAATAACATTTCGAGGGAACGAAATAATATTTCGAGGGAACGAAATAATATTTCGAGGGAACGAAATAATATTTCGAGGGAACGAAATAATATTTCGAGGGAACGAAATATTATTTGGAGGGAACGAAATAGTTTAATATTTTCTTTAACCATGTCCCTTTAGGGGCTCCGTAGTTATATACAGTATACGCCTACTCTTCTTCTAAACGCTGCTACCTCGTTCTATCTGATGTTTATCATCATGTAATCTTGTGTTCCGGATAGTAAATTTAGGCCAATGTTGTAAAATTCCGAATCAACTGAGTCAATTCAATCACTGGTTTTATTTTTGCATTGATTCAAATACAAGGCCCAAACAAGGGCTGAAAACTAGGCCCTATTGCGATAATGTACAGAGCAGCTGATATCAGGCTGACCATGTCACATTCAAGTATGGCACATACTTGAAAGTAGCGCATGTGCAAAATATGGTTTATGAGAAGAATTATGTATAATTCATGAAATTTTACCAAAGTTACCGTACCGTACCTTCTTAAAGAATTCCTTCTATTGAAGCAAAGGTCGTGAGTTCGAATCGTGTTTTGAAAATCTTTTTTTTTTCTTTTTTCTAATTTTAAGACTTTTTTTTCAATTTTAAGACATTTTAATTTTGTACAAATAATTATTCTAATTATTTCAAAATTTCTATCTTATTAGCTCTCCGATTTTTAACTCCAATGAGAAGCCAAAGGCCGTGAGTTCTATTTTTTTTTTTGTCAAAACATCTCTCAAATATTTTAGAATGTTTATTTATACCAAAAAAAAAAAAGAAAAAAAAAAACCCGGCGCAATTCAAACTCACGACCTTCAGTTTTTTACAACACAGCGTACCGACCGTGCCATTAATACAAAGTGTCCTGTTAGTGATAGTAATTATTGGCAATTATGAGCCCGTGCAGAAAACCCAATATTATATTAATAACTTACGACACTGTGTACAGTATTTAAGCATGAAGGATGTTTCCTCCATGATTTAAGCATGTTTTAATACTCTACTGCCTCTATTATACTGCTCTCATCTGAGCTTTCGAGATTACGAGAACTTGTTTTTTCCCAAATGTTAAACCACGACAGTTCGAAATAAATACAGTGGGCTTCTATCAGGGAGTTGAATGTAATTGTACAAGCAGGGGCAAGGTCGTTGTTATAAAATGTTAATTATTTTTTTAATTACTTTCATAATTCTTTAATTACTTTCATAATTCTTTGTAATCTTCTTAATAATACCAACACCTGCAACATTAATAATTAGAAAAGTACAAATATTTGTTGTTCTTCTTATGAATAAACGTTTCAAACTTTATTTAATAATTTGTTTTATATAATATAATTAAAAATGAAACAATGTGTAACAAGAAATTCAGTTACAGACGAACAAACTTAATTACAATACATTACGCTTGTTTTGTCAAAACACGATAAAAAAAAAGAACTCAGTTGTGCCGAAAAGAGACATTAAAATACATCACAAAAAGCTACAAACGCGGGAGCGGCTGGGGGATTCGCTCCCATACCCCCACAGGGGCCCTTCGCGGTCCCCTGGCCCCCAACGCCAGGCTCGGTGCCTTCGGCTCCCTCGCTACGCCAATGATCCCGCCTTTACAATTTTCGCACCCCAACCTCAGATGGCAACCACCCTACGCCCCTGCATGGTAGGGCTGAGGTAATATGCACCCTGGATCTTATAAAGTAGTCCCTTCCTGGCTCCTTTTGAATTCATGGATCCGCCACTGTTCACTATTCTCAATATTTATTTAAACCTAATTAAGAAAAAAAAAATATGGTAGATATTATATCAATAATAAAGTTAATTAATTTTTCATTTTTTAAAATTCTAATTTAATTTTTTATTAATTATTCTTATTGTAGATACCAAAATTTGAGTGGGACGAAATCACACAGCAAACGATACTCGGGGCTTTCTATTATGGTTATGCTGTCATGCCGATACTAGGAGGTTGGTTGGCGGGAAAGAAAGGCGGAAAGCGTGTGATGGTATTTGTAGTACTTTGGACAAGCTTACTTACAGCCTTGATACCGTGGGCAGCGGGAGTCAGTTCTGGACTACTGATAATTCTACGTATTTTAGACGGCCTAGGGCAGGTTAGAAAACTACTAATTAGTTTCCTACATTATGTATTCTATAGGCCTAGACAACATATGTTC